CTCGGGAAGCTTTTCGCAAACACAATGCTGGCGAATTCGATGAGTACATCAAATGGAAGCTCTACCAGGACTGGCCGGAGTTGGAGGAGATTGATAAAGCTAGAGCTGAAGCTGAGGCTATTCAGGCTGAAGAGGAGGCACGAGAGCAAGAGATGGAAGAACAGGATGAGATCTCTGAGGAGCAATCCCGGATTGCTGAAACTCCAAAGTCTCTTGGTAGTCAGAAAGGCGAAAATGGTGTCCAAGAACCTTCGCCCGGACACGGCCATATGAGCGATTCCCAAGTCAGCAATACATATCCGGTCAAGTTCTCTGGCAACGGCAGCACTTCTACAGATGATGGCCAGGACCAAAACACTCCAAGCCTACTTCACCGACCAAATCGATTCAACTACCACCGGAAAGGCGAAATTAATGATGAGGAGCCTATTATGTTCAGTCCTTCCGGCAAGAACGCTGACCCAGGCCGTTGGTACGCCATCAAGTCAGCTTCACGTACTCCTTCCCGCGGAAACGATCAACAAAACGGCAGCCATCAGAGCAGCCACGAAGCTACTCCTTTGGATGGTCATCAGCGGGTTCAAGAGCAACAAGATGAGAAGCAGGATGTGATGGATCTTGACAGTACCGACGAACTCCAGCGTTGATCCAAAGGAGATGAATATGCTGAACATCACGACGTACCACCACGCCATCCGCATTCACGAGGATATTGTCGTTACCACTCGACGAGTTCGAGAATTTCGGACATTTGGTTCATAGTGTCTTCGGAAAAGGGAAGTACATTCTGGCAAGCAACCAGGAGCATATCTTTTTTGCGCCTCTTCATTCTAGGCTACTTCCCTTCTCTTGTACAACTCTCGCAGCATGACTTGCGCCTCCCATGGTCGTACAAACTCCGGAAAATGGCGCTTGGAGTATGAGGACTTACGATTCTCATTTGTTTTGTGTTGAGATACCCACCTGCTGCATCTCTTTTACGAAGATACCCCTAGCGATGACGAACACTTGAATAATCGCAAGATGTCCCCTCATTGCACACATGCAGATTAGCTAGTCTACTCTGCGCGAGAAAAAGATCGCACAATTCTATTGTCAAAAAAAATTGCGCTCTTGAACTCGATGTGCGAAATGTGAAGGCAAAATATTGTGTCTAGATCTTTGGGATCTGATATTGCAGATACATCCAACAAAATCTTCTGGTTTATGATTCAATGCAATCCTAAGGGAGCGCTGAAAACAGCTTTCTCACTTTTTGAGTATATTAAAAAGTGGAAAAGCTCTGGTTGAATGCCCCCACATCTAGATCCCTGGACTCAGTGACTGCTGGAAATCAGCGATGAGGAACCTTGGATCACTTTACCAAGGAGAATATCGAGATAGTAGTTAAGTTGCCTGCGTCGGGATATTTCTCCATCCATCATCATCTCGTCAAAACACATCAAGGTAAGATTTGATATCTCATTTGCAACAGTCGTAGCACACGGAATGCAGTCTCATCTGTACTCCATGCATCTGTTCTCGAACACATACGTCTCGTTCTTCTCTACTCTCTTCCTAATACATCGTCCTCCTAGCACATTTGAATCACGATCCAGCATACTTTGTGACTCAGCAGTGTTCACGGAGACTTCATTTTGCTGATTGGTTCTGTTTATATTTAAACAACACAATAACGCGTTGAGGGCACGAGAATCTGGAAGAATGCACGCAACGTTCAGCTTTCTAGATTTAAGGATTAAACAAAGACTTCGTATTTGTGAACTTTTCGAAACCCATGTATTTATATACATACAAATACACCCCGCTTGCCAATCCCAGGTAAATGGATTTCGACGTTCAAGTGCCCCTCTCTTTCAATCACAACTCATCATGCCCCTCCACCCCAATCGTCCCCCCACTCAAATCCGGCATCCCCATAATCTTGACAACAAGACTCGTCCACCCCGTAAAATGCTGCGTTCTCTGTCCCTTCCCTGTTTCAGGGTTATATTGCTCCCATGCGAAACCTGTTTCTTGCCAGGAGTCGAAGACGGTTTTTACGAGGTTGAGGCGGAGGTGGGTGTAGAGGTCTTTGGCGGTTTCTTGGTGCGGGCCGGGAGTTTGTGCGTATTTCTGTGAGAGATTTTAGTCAGATGTGAGGGTGAATGGAATGGGGGGAGGGGATGGGCAAAGGGGAAGGAAAAGGGGGCGTACTAAGAGTTGAACAAGAGCAAGGTAGTTCATATTCATCCAAATCGGACCTCTCCAATAATTCTCATCCGTACCATAGAACGGATCACTCTTACTCAAACTTCTAATCCCAAACTCAGACCAAAGCTCATTCTCATCACCCAAAAGCTTAAGTATATGACCCAACTTGTCGCTCTTCGGATCAACAAGTCCAGTCAAGAACGGGAAGAGAGAGATATAGCCTTTATGACAAATGAGTAGATTCTCTTCGAAATCATCGATCGTAGCATCGCAGTAGCATTTCTCTTTCTCGCTCCAATGAAGATCATCGATGTTGCGGAGGATTGCGGTCTCGATGGTTGTTAATTCTTTGACGTCATCTTCGTATTTGAGGAGCGAGGCTATGTTCTTTAGTGATTTGGTCATCATGCCCATCCAGGAGATGAGATCGACGTGTAGCTCTCCTGGGTGTGGTGGTTGGGGACGGGGATAATCGTCTAGACCGGAAGTTAGAATGTGGCGTTCGGAGCGTCCGCGCCAGCGGTAGGCTTCTTTGGTGGAGAAGGCGTCGCGGTCGTAGGACTTCAAGTCGCCAAATTGGGTTTTGCGGAACCAGTAGTAGTGCTTCTTGAGCTTGGGGTAGAGTTCTGTGAGATATTGGAGACCGAGTTCTGGGCTACGGAGATGAACTGAGTTTGGCTTGGCACCGAGGCTCGCGGTATTGGTCTTGTCGCCTCCTGTTGTGCCGTTCAAAGCACCGAGCTTAGTGATGAAAGAGTCGATGATGAAGAACAGGGTAGGAGGGTTTGCATAGTGGGGATACTGGACTTGGAACTCTTGTGGCACCTTGCTGCGTGCTTCTGCGCCAAGGATTTGTTCACGTCCGATCCAGCCATCATCGTCAATCAGGCTGAACCAAGACTTGACGATCTCAAGTGCAAGATCCAGATCCCAATCAACAATCGGCATCAGGTGGAAGCCTTCATCCCAGAGAAAGCCTCGAGGGAAGAACGAGCGAGATGGGACGGTGGTGTAAAGCTCTGTAGGACCTTCGAGCTTCTCCTGCTTTCGACCTCGGGCTTCGGCAGTCTCAGTATGGAATCCCTCGTTCTCCTCGTCGTATTCTGGTGCATATGACCTGTCAACGACAGAATCACCATAGAAGTATCCCAGTCCGCCAATGAGATTGGAGAATAGATTGCTCGAGAATCGCTGGAGTTTTTCAATGGCGAATGGAGGCTGGAGATCAAAGGTAGCAATGAATCTTTCCCAGAAAGCGTTGGTAGATTTCTCAATGAAGCCTGTTACATCTTGGCTGGTGTACACTTTTCCAGCTGAGCCACTGTTGAATATGATGTCGAATTCGAAGTTCCCCTCGAACACTTTCTGGATCATATGCATGTTGCCAGGACCTGGTTTGTTGATGATGGTGTATGTCTGCCATGGTGGTGGGGCATTTTCCTCGCCGTACTTCTCCAGATACTGATCAATTTGATCCTTCAGCATCTTGAAAAGGATTGGCTTCGCTTGCCAGATAGCTTGTTCTGGGACCGTGATTGAGTTCACCAGCGTCCGGTCAAGTGGCTTCTCATCGTCCGCAGGATGCATTGGCTTCGGATGGTATCCTCTTCCACCAGTGACAGTCAACTTGTACTCTCCAAGGCCTTGAGAGTCTCCCTTCAAGGTCACATCGGCCTCGTAACCAACATCTTCGTCGTTCTCGACCTCGAGGCTTCCCAGACCCTCTAGAGAAGCATAAAATATTATGGTTGTCTTCAAATCTGGCGGTGAATCTTTCCTCGCAGTTCCTCGTACTCTTGTGGCCCAGCTACCTCCGTTACTTCCACCAGGGATCTTAACGAATGTAGTTGTGATATCGATTCCATTGCCCTCATCGTAGATGGTCTGCTTCCCTCCAGTCCGCGCGTCGTACTCATCCCAACCATACCCCCGCATGTTATCGCCCTGCTCGCAGGTATGTCTCATGTCTGCGACTTCAATTAGCATCTGCCAACCAATATCTCTACTAAATGCCGAGATAACGAGGCCACTTACTCTGCTGCACATCTTGAAAATTGTCTACTTTCGACCACATCAAACCACCCATCAAACTCCTAGGAATCCTTGGTCTGACCCCAAAATACAAATTCGGTCGGTAAGGACCCCATAGCAAGCTTTGGTTCGTATTCCTCGCAATCTCTTTATACAGAATTGCAGTATCTGTTTCAGCCGCGCCCGACGAAGCAGCGACCAGAGCCGCCGTCAGCAGCGATAAAGGATTGAGGAGCTGCATGGCGCCTCAATGATGAAGAGAATAGCTTTCCAGAGCTCCAGGAATAAAGAGGGAGCTCGGGAGGACGCTGTTACTTTTTAAGAGGGTGGTTACGAAAAAGTTGGGGCAGGGCTTGAAGACACCGTTGCGGTTACGCGAGTTCAGCCTGTGGCGCAAGGCTGGTGGGAAGGCTGGCCGGGAGCCGTTAAGGGGTTATGGATTGCAATCTGGTCAAAACATGATACTTTGTTAGAGAGTAACCAAGCTTTGCATTTTCAATCCAAATCATTACCTTATTCAAATGTTGTGGCCGCGTTTTGCAAAAGCGAAGCTTTCCCAGCGTACGCGTTCGCAAGGCTACGGCTCGCCAAGACTTGCCCTTTTGCAAGACAACGAAGTGCCGACCTACCTTCTGATTTAAGTACATCTAAAAGGCAAGTACAATTAGCCGATGTTGACCCGGTTAAGACAGGATGTAGATAATTATCTTTGGCCGAAATATTAGCGGAAGAAAAAGAAAGAAAAAAGAGAACCAGACTTGCTGGTCCGTTTGCAGAGGCTCTTCTGGGAGTCGAACCCAGGACTCCGGAACTCATGAACTGAGTAAATTCAGAATCCGACGTGCTAAACCACTACACTAAAGTGCCTTTTGTTGATTGGATGCTGTAGTAATGCTTACTTAAATATATACCAACGTTTGCGGCAGCACAGCCCAAGGCCCGGAGTAGTCCCATGACTTTAGTCGCATCTTTTGAAAGCCTTTAGACGAATACACGGGGATTGTACTGTGTTTGGTTAGGTTTTATATTTTCTGGGGGTAAGTTTTCCAGGTCCTGACTAGATGCAGAATGTTTGGTGTTGACTTCCTGCGGAAGAGTGGCTCAACACTAATAAAGGCCCACAAGACGGATACACACAGGATGCAGTATGCCACTAAAATGCCACAAGACATGTCTCCTTAGTCCCTACTTGGACTCAGCGGTCTATTGAATCCTCCAACCCGATTCATGTACTGTCTGTACTCGGTTCTCTTCTCCTTTCTGACAGCACTAACATTGTTTCCTTCAACCTTCTTCTGATGCGTAGTACCGAATCCACCAAAGCCCATCATTGCTTGCATAGCAGCCATACCATCATCCTCAACCACAATCTCGTCATCCTCCTCAGGCTCCTCCTCTACTTCCTTCTTCTTGGGCTTGGCACTTTTCCTTGCTCCATCAACATCCATTCGGTCATGATCCTGCCCACCAACCTTGAAGCTCACAGGCGGCGTAGCAGTCCTATCCTTCGTAAACTCCTCATCCAGTCTCGGTTTCGGGGTGTCCTTCTCCAGCTCTCTGGGCTTGACATCTCGTTCTCTCTCCCTTCTTGGACTCCTACTTCTGGTATCTCTCTTCGACTCTTTCGCCCTATCTCTCGATCGTGATCTCTCTCTCGGCTTATTCCTCATGTCTCGTCCACCATCTTGACAAGCATTAGACCTTCCTCTGAAAGCCAAGACCATAGACTGGCCAGCATTGTACTCACCTCTCTCAGAATCCCTATCCCTCCCACCCCGTCCCTCATCTCTTCTCCCTCCACGTCCATACCTCCCACCATCTTGCGAAGCATTAGACCTGCCTCTAAACGCCAACATCATATCCTCGCCGGGCGCAAAGTACTCACCATCTTTATCATCTCTACCTCTCCCATTTCCTCTTCCATCTCTCTCATCTCGCCCTCTATCTCTCCCGCCACGATCCCTATCTCTCTCACGCCCACCTCTCGAATCGCGCGGCGATCGACTCCTATATCTGCGATTGCGATCTCGGTCCCGATCTTCGCGTCTATCATAATCATCGCGCCTGTCTCGGTCTCGATCTCTGGGCTCTTCACGCTCGCGGGTGGGTATTGGGGCGCGGCGGTCTGATTCATCCCACATTTGCTTGCTGTCTGGGCGGCGCGCGCGCTTGTAGGGTGGTTCTGTCATTTTGCAGAATGTGAAGTGGTCGACGGGGAGAAATTGTGTTCGGAATGTTTGTGCTTGAGGCTGCTGGAAGGCTGGGAACTTTTAAGTGGGTCTTGTCACGTGTATCTCCTTTATCTTCTACGTTAACTTGTTGAGCCTCGAAGCTTGACTTCCCAACAGTACATCAATCTTGATCAAAGTCATCTCCCCGGGACGTACTTTCGGGTTCATGCTACTGGACTGAGCGACGGGAACAATTGTCTTCCGAGGACATTAGAGAAAACTCTTCCTCGACGTCGGCGCCCTCAACGTCACGCATTCACATTGAGCACATTCTACCCCATTATCCTCCTGAAGACCTTACCCGCTGCTGCCTTGACAGTCAACAGTGGTAGGCACTCTACTACCTCTATATCGCACATCGAGATCTCAATCCGACACACTTACAGCCCTTGATCTTCACATCCAGCAAAAGCCAGCAACGTCCAACTTCTGCCAAGAAAAAATGTCTCGTGAATACGGCAGTAATTGGATTTCCCCAGCCTCCAAGGACATGTCCTTCACACGTTTCCCAGAATTGCCTCCTGAGCTGCGGCGTCAAGTCTGGCAAGAGGCCTGCTCTGTACCAAGAACCATCGACCTTTAGGTAAAGGCACTAGTGCCATTGGACACTTCGCGCCAGTCTTTTGAAGAGTGCGACACTGCCCCTTTCGTTCTTCACAGTCATGGTCAGAAAGTCCCACCTATCTTACACGCATCAAGAGAGGCACGAACGATTGGACTCGAATATTACGAACTTAGTTTCGGTACCGAATTCGATCAACTGAGCCAGGGTGCCCGCTTTCTTATCACAACAGAGCCCAAGATCTACGTTAACTGGAAGCACGACATCATTTGCCCCAATCTTCAGTGTGACCTGGCCGTCGATCAGTGGACTGGAGTATTGATGAACCGAAAGCGATCTATGGCCAAGTTGTCTCCAAATTTGTTTCCTTCTCTCACGTGTGCTATTACTGTACTTTCGAGAGTTTGCGTAGACAAAACTTTTGTTTGATATACAAGGACGTGTTTCAGATCATTCCTAGCGAGTCTGTATATCGATCTTCTAAAGCATATCTGTGCATCATTTGCGACCAAAGGCAGGAAAGGAAAGCGGGGCTACGTGGGCAAAGTCATGGAGGCCATCAGCGGTAGCTAGTGATCTTTGGTACCTGCATCGTGTCTTCTAGCGCTTTTGAACACTTTGGATGGAAATTTCATTCCGGGTTCCGACAGCCCGGCGGTTGAACACAGTATTAGGGGCCAACTGAAACTTCAGCCAAGAAACCACCAGTCAGCGTTCTCAACCTCCCAACTTCACCTAGACTTTCTCAACTCACTTTCCCAGAGCTAGAGCTATCGCTGGCTAACATCATCTCGCTTTACTGCATACAGTACCTTAGCCCAACCAAGCCTCCTCGATTTTCTCATCAAGCGACAACGCCACGCCGACCACAGATCCGGAAGCATGTCATTCACATCCTTCCTCAAGCTCTCTTGCGAACTTCGCAAGCAAATCTGGGAAGATGTTTGCTCAGTCGAACGAGTACTGGACATCCGACCTATACTAGCAGTCTCTCAATTGTCCCTATCATTCATCCGGAAACTGAATAATGGGATGTCTGACGATGTCACGATTGCCTTTAGGGCATACTCCCGAAACGCGCCTTCTGTTCTCCGCGTGTCAAGCGAGTCTCGTTTTATCGGTTTCAAGTATTATGAGCTTGGCTTTAGTAGTTCCTTTAACCGGGATGTCGATGGCGCTTCTGTCAAGATCACCACTGAGCCTAGGATTTATGTCAACTGGGAATATCATATCATATATCCATTGATCGAATGGGTAAGAGAGGGTGCTGCCGACATAGTCGCTGATTCAATTTGTCGTCAATTGCAGCAATTGCCAGAGTCTCGCATTGCTATTCCATGGCATGAACTTGGCCATTTCGACTGGGGTGGGGTGGGAGAAAGGTTGCTCGGGATTGGGAAAGAAGTTACTGTGTGCTGGACGCCCCCGCACTTTTGGCGCGATCAGTCATCTCATCTCAGCAAACCAACACCATTTCAAATCATCTGCCTGGAGCAATATCATGAAGGACTCATCTTCCCTACAACTCCACAACGGCTCAAGGAAATGTTCTTACACATGCGCATATTCTACATCTATGTTGAGGCACATATTCCCAGGGCGAACCTTAATCTAGCACATCTGTCTCCGCTGCATTTCAGACCTATGGTAATACAGGCGTATGAGTAGAGGCCATCAGCCCTCAACTCCATCTTCGTCGAGAAAAAGATTTATAGTGTGGTCCGTGTGGACAACCTCCGAGGAAGCTTGGAATTATGCTAAAGGCAGGTCCGCAGAAGTGCTCATTGTGCCGCTGGCACATTCTACTGTACATATATCACTCTCCAGTCTTGAGAACGGTCAATAATAAGCCCATCTCTGATTCTTCATTCAACCTAACGAGCAGGATGATCACGGCAAGGCTTTGCCCGTCGCACCACCCATCCCGCCACTACCACCATTCGAGCCTTCTTCTCTTCACGCAAGATATATCCTTACCATTATTGAGCAACGTCTCTAATTTGCTGAGCAAAGAGAGAGACATAAGAGAAATTGAATGGGAAACATGAGGTCACGTGAAATGTCTTTTGCGTCAAGCGCCAGTTTCTCGGTGAGCGCTTCTCGTAGCCGCGTCGAGTCGGCAACGACATTTCCCCTCACTTCGAATTCAACAAGTACCGTACTGCATCGAAGGGTATCCACCCACTCGCCGCCCAGCCTCAGAAAACGACGTCGATCGGAAACCATGTCATTCACATGCTTCCCTAAGCTTCCTCCCGAGCTTCGTCACAAGATATGGGAAGAGGTTTGCTGCGTTAAACGACTCATCGACATACACCCCGTTTTGAGTTGTTCTGCGTCCATGAGTCTAGACTTGAATGAAGAATTCGACGAGGTCCCTATTCGTTTCCGCACCTTATGTCGGAACGCGCCTCCTCTTCTGCACGTGTCAAAGGAGGCCCGCCTCATCGGCCTCAAAAATTACCAGCTTGGACTCGGAACCTTTTTCGATCAAGAAACTACCGATAGCCTCGCTCGCATCCAGATTACAACTCCGCCTCAATTCTACGTTAACTGGAATTATGATATCCTATGTCCGTTTTTCGAATCGGAGCGCCAGATCTTTGGCATCGCCCTCAACGAGTCCATGTTTCGTCAACTGGAACGAATGCCTATCTCTTGCATTGCGATTTCGTGGATTGAAGTTGATGAGTTTGCCGAGAAAGTAGGAGTGGACAAGTGGGACTTGGCTGGGGTCAAAGAAGTGACTGTTTACTGGGAGCCCGAAGATTTTTGGATCGAGGACTATCTTCAACTGAAGGGCCCTCGCAAACCAGTACCATTGCAACTGGTCAGTCCATCTGAATACTCGGAGAAGCATGGTTTAACCAGGAGTGACACCACTGGGTTGCTTGAGAGACTACGTGGCTCCATTGACGATGTTCGCAGCAAAACAGATCCCATCCTCAAACTAGAACATCGATCTCCGCTACATATCTGGCCTACGATTATAGAGCCTTATTCTGATTAGATGTGAATCATGGAGCATACGTATTTGGGGAGGACAGACGACGTGGGATGGCGTTAGCTAGACA